CAATGCAAAGCTTCTTCAAGCTGCTGCCGTCAGGGAGGAGACTGCGGAGTCTCCAGGCCAGGACCAGCAGACTGAAGGACAGCTTCATCCATCAGGCTGTCAGGAAGCTTAACTCCCTCCCGATTCTGCCCCCCTCTCCCCTCTCTCCTCCACGGTCTCACTGAACTCTGTCACACACACACAAACACACACACTCTCTGACTCACTCACTGGCCTGCACCAGTTACCAGTCACTTTGTGGAGCATTGGACTGCCATTACCTCATAAGACTTTGTGTTACACTATCTCATACCGTATATTACTAAATCTCCATTTGCACTATTTGCCTATTTGCACTACTCTGCCTGGTTTGCACTCAATGTCATTTACCCTTATATTGTATATTGTATAGCTTTCTTGTTATATGTAAAATTTTATTATATTATTTTATTTTTTTTACTTTAAAATATTTTACTTGCATTTTTAATCACTCTTATATTTAAATATTCATTTTCTATTTTATCTAGGGATTGAGAGTAACGAAGTTTCTATTCTCTGTATGTCCTGTACATGTGGCAGAATTGACAATAAAGTTGACTTTGACTTTGACTTGACTTTGAGTAACCCCGAACTGTCCAACTCGGAATATTCGGTTTCAGAAAGGCTGATAACAATTAGTTCAATCAACGCGGAGTTGCTTTAACCCCAAGTTAAGCGCGCGCACGAGGATACATAAAGCCCTGATTAGTGGAGCACAGATTAAGCGAGTCACCATGGAGACGGAGGGAAAGAAGGCGCGGTCAATGTATTTTACAGCGCTTGAGGCCGAAATTCTGATGGCAGCATATGCCGATAACATGCAAATTCCGCGGAAAAAAAGTAACACAGCCACAGCTGCAAAAGAAAGTGAGCATGCATGGCAAAACATAGCCGACAGAGTCAATGCGTGAGTGTTAATTTAAACACTGATCTAGGGATTTCCACCCATTTAACACGTTATTTTATTTTATTTTATTTTGTATTTCATACATTTTATTTTGTGATGTAATGTAAGCGCAGGTGCAACCCAACAGGCCCCAAACGTTCCTGGCAGCAAGTAAAAATGAAATATAAAAATATAGTCCAAACAGGTAAGGTGTAATTGTATTATGAGCCATAGTGCTTGGTCTGTTTGTCCGATGTAAATCAATTGCAGTTAGAGGCTACATTAACTTCCCCTCTGTAAGCACTTATTGAAATTATCTGAGCACATTACAAGTACATAGTTGCTTACTCTGTATGCTCAAATGTGACCCGTTATAGCCAACAGAAAAAAAGCGGAGGCCTGAAAAACAGGTGGGGGTCCTCCACCACCACTCACAGAGGCTGAGCAGTTGGCTTCCACATTTGTGATAATGTTGGCAGCATCACATATGATCTTCACAGTGCAGAGAACACAAATTAGCATCCATTACTATAATGAAATAATTTGTTAGTTTGAAATGCTACAGGGAGCTATGTACCTGTACATTAATGCTGTGGAAAGACTTCCTGTTCACATAGTCTCCTTCATTTACTGAAGGAGCAATGATTGGAATGTGAGTGCCATCTGTACAGCCAATCACGCCTGGGAACCGTGAGAATAAATGTAAAATTTAAGTAGTAGTTCAAGTATCACCACATCATGAATTAAGTTTCGTTCATCCTGATACCTGCAATTTTGTGGCATCCCTCTTTGATAAATCTTGTGGGTCTATGACCGGGGAACACCACAAACGAGTACAGGAGACGTTTCAGTGCAACTGTAACATTCCTGACTGCCCGACAGACGGTAGCCTTGGAAACGTGCTCAGCGTCACCAATATTATACAGAAAGCTCCTGTTTGCAAAAAAACGAAGTGCAATACAAATAATATGTAATGAACTGAGAGAATGTCCGCGATGTGTCACATGAGCAATATTAGGCCTGAGGATGTTATTCAAATGAATTATAGATTGTGCTGGAAAACGGTAACGTTCGCACAGGAAATCATCAGGAAATGATAAAATGTCCAAACGCGCTCTGATCACTCTCTCCCGGCGGAGAGCTCTGCGGAGAATTTGGGCTTCAACATCTACTGGCTCTTCAAGGAAGGAGCACGCCATGTCTGACACTTCCTACAGTCAGGTTTCCGACAAAGAGGCGGAGAACGTCAGGGTTAGTTGAAGTAAACCTGCTAGGGGGCAGGTTAGCTTCACGGAGTGTGTCGTCATAGTAACTCACTCAGAATTAATCTAAACTCGCTTTGTGAAACCGAAAACCCAGAGTTTTCGTTATCTCAGGGTATACTTACTCAGAGTTTGCACTAAACCGGCTTCCTGAAACAGGGCCCAGAACATGAACACACAAAACCAGGTGTAAAGAGAAAAAAGTAATAATTATATGAATACACTCAAAAGAAGCACTCATATATATTCAAATAATTTTAAATTTTAAAAAGTTCATTTACCTAGGTAAATGAACTTTTTTTTTAAATTATTTGACTATATATGAATGTGTGTGTATAAATACACAAATAATACACACATGCTTTCATGCTTTCAATTGTGTAATTTAAGTGATCTAGGTAGCTCTGTCTTGGAAGTTCAGTTCATGCTAGAAATGTGTTTTGGAGTTTATACGTGTTTTGTCTCTAAGACCACTTTTTTTTACATTAGTAATTCCTTTTGTGCATAATTTTATATTATTGTTAATAATAAAATAATTAAAGCAACAAAGCAACCCGAAAACTCGGTTTGGAATCGAAAGAGCCGGTTCTTTTTAGTGAGTCGAACCGAAAGAACCGGTTCTCTAAAAAGAGTCGGAAATCCCATCACTAATATCTTAGATAGCAAGGAGCAGATGGCCGAGGTTTTTTTTTTTGGGAGGGGGGGGGGGGGGGGGTTTGAATACGTTTTATTGACAAAGCACAAAATACAGATATACAAATACAAAATAGCAAACACAATGTCAGGGGGTTCGTATAAAAAAGCAAAATAGACACAGTCTATTATAGAATCACATGATATTGAACAGGGAACATTTATGGCAGACGGCCGAGTTTATTAAACTCCACCGACACCGCGGTAACGCAAATCTGCCGCCGAGTCACGTGATCGCACAGTAACAAACCACAGCAGATCAGGAAGAAGGGGCGGAGCCATTTGTCTGTGCAAAAGAGGAGTCGAGCAGAGAGAGATGATTTTGCATGAAACGCAAGTAAAGTAGTGGACTAAGAGGAGAGAAACAAACTAAAGTATCGATCATAAACCACTACCAACGTCCTGATCGATATCTGCATCGATCTGCCCACCCTTGTCTCCTGGATCGTAGCTGAGATCAGCGTGAACCACGTGGGTCTCTGCTCCCTGATCTGTTTCCTGTGTTTGGAAAGAGTTGCAGCTTCATCGCGGAGTTTCTCTCGGTTTGTGGGCTCATCTAAAGGTAAGCACCGAGCTAACTTTACTGTGAGTTCAGTTCATGTTGAGTTTAGCTCCTGAATGAGGTCTTCTGCTGCTCTCCTCGGTGTCTGTTCACAGTTTATTGTGAACACGTTGAGAGAAGAGTGAGAGAGTGTTTGGAGAAAAACACCAACTAATCATTAGCTCAGCATGCTGGGAGAAGTTGGAGCAGAAAAGTCTTTTCATTGTCCCTGCAGCTGTTTTTCTGCCTGCACCAAACCTCTACAGCCTCGTTTCTATTTAAGTGATAACAGGAAGTCAGAGCGATCTGCTGCAGTATTTTCATACATCTATGGAGAGAGAACCCAAGGAGGGTGGAGAGACTGTGATCACGTCATTATTGGTAGAATCCGCAGCAGGAGCTGTTCAGCTGTGAATGGTTGGTGCAGTGGGGTCTTTAGGTCTGTGGTTGGTTCACCGTCTGATTGTTTTCCAGACAGAAGCAGAGTCATTAGCTGAAAACAGGTTTTGGAGTTTAGCCTCACTAAAGCTGAACTTTGCAACTGTCTCTGTCCCCACTCTGAAACACTTCCTGCCATGAAGTTCTGATGAAGCACCAAACTGCAGTTACTCAGTCAGTGGAGGTTCAGTAGTGCAGTTTCTCACCACTGTTGTTAACTGGAGGCTGACACACTGACTGAAGACATTTAGTCTGAGTAGATTTGAACTTTCCTTCTTCATTGTTTCCATCTTGCTTTGACTGCAGCTGTAACAACACTGATTCCAGCAGGATTTGTAAAAAGCATTTTGACAGACACACAAAGCTGGACAGCTTTTGTTCTGAGTCCAAGATCTTAGAAAGAAAGTGACTGGACGTCTGTAAGCTTTTTTAAACGTTTCACCTCTCATCCAAAAGTGGCTTTTTCAGTTCTAAAATCAAATGGTGGAGAGTCCCAGGCATTTAAACCCTTGTGGGGGTTGTCAACTGAAAGGGTCGTCAACCCACTGTTGACCATTGATCTTATCACAAGAGCCAATGTGTGGAAAAATGTGTGTGTCAGCAGGTCCTGAGTGAAACCATTGTGAGACCCTGTTTCACTCTATCATGTAACTCGGTGCTGTCCCTGTTAAAGAGCCAAGAGCCTTTCTTTCCACTTCCTCCATGTAAAGTTTGGCTACAATGGGACACACTGGGGAGCTCACAGCACATCCATGTTTGTGTCTGTAGAAACCCTCGTTGTATTTAAAATATGTGACTTTATGCTGCTACCAATGAGCCTGAGTGGGACTCCTTCTTTGTGTGTCTATGGAAGTTCATATATACAGGGTGCAGCATCCACCGGGTAAAGGTGGTGGTATGCAGGGAGCTCAGTGGCTTTTTCAAGTTCTTGTAGGCAGCTGATGACTTTCCTTTTGCTTCTGGGGTTTCACCTTGAAGCTTCATAGGTATTGTTGTCACTGAGTGTAGTAATGTTTATTTGCTCTGCTTCTTCTTGTCAGGGATAAAATACATATCTATACTTTTGTGTCCCAGCTGAGTAACAGGAGGAGAAGAGTCTGGTGGAGCAGCAGAGGAACAGTTTCAGCCATTTGGACTCAGCTCAGCCACTACAGAGGAAACAATGACTTCAACACAGGAGGTGAGAAAAATATCTCAGTTACATCTATGGCTGTGCAACATGATGAAATGCATATTAGATGAACGATATAAAAACATCTATCGTTTCATATTATACACTATTGTTTGTTTCGTGGTGTCGCAAAATGCGCTGTTTATAGCAGTATTTGTTTTTTCTTCTCCCACCTATGGAAGAATCACATGAAAGGGTACAGAGAAAGTTTAGAGGCAAAAAAGAGCCATCGAAATGAACCTTAAACTTTAAGTCGACTTGTGTGAAATTCAAAGAATTTACAGAAAATGCACATTTGTGATATATATCGTTATTGTTATGAGACATGTGTCATATCGGGATATGAGATTTTGGTTATATTGCACAGTTATTGTTATATTAAAAAAATTAACAGAGCGTAAGATGGACACACACAATACGTGTGTGCTCACAATTCAGCCTTCAGTTACCCGGCTTTCATTCAAAATCTGTTTGTCGTGAGCACCTACACATTAAACAACTTACAGATTATAAATGGCTTCAAGCTCACACTGAGGCCTGTGGGGCACTATCACCCACTGAGACACATTTATATGTTTTTATATATGAATATTTCATACTTTAATGATGCCTATTTATTTAAGGGAGATGAGCAATACATTATAATTGTACATAATAATATCACAGATGACAGATTAATAGATTTTATGTAGATGCTTGTGCGTTCTTAAAGTCTTATATGTTGAATTGAATGTGTCATCTGTTCAAAGCCTCCCAGTCAGTGCTGTTCTCCATGCCTGTCTGACTGTACATGATGTTATTAGCACAAACACTTTAGAGGTGATCAATTAGGACTTCAACAATAATACAGACAGCAACGTGGTTAAACATTTTACAGTAGGTGTTATTGGGAATTACCTTTTTCAGTATTTTTATGTGTTGCATTTTTCTATGTTTTAACCAAAGGGAAATAAAGGGGTTTAAATCAACCTGATTGTTACACCCCAGCCTAGGCAACCGGCGTGCAACGTATGAAAATAAAAATAAGAAAAACACACGAGAAAAAAACTAAAGCGCTCCACCAAAATCCCAAAACGAAGGTGTCTCAAACGAAAATATTAACAAACCCATTCACAGCTATTTACAACAGACTATTTATTTATTTACAACAAAACACCAAACTATTTACAACACAGGGGAGATCGCGACCATGACCAACTGACACACAGGGCTTAAATACCTAGAAGGAGCAATCAGGGAATGGACCACAGGAGGGAAACACAGCTGGGGCAAATTAGACCTGACGAGACAAGGAAGCGTAAACTGAACACACTAAGATAACAACAGACCTTCAAAGTAAAACAGGAAACACATGACAGTCACGCAAAAACAAAACACACACTTCCTGTGCTTTCCCCACCAATTTACACTGCAGCAACAAACTCCACACATCCTTGGGCCATTTCAAAGTGGTTGCGATGCGTTCAAAGGCATTAAAGTAAGAGTCAACTTCACTTTCTCTGAAAGGTGGCACTAAAGCAATTTGCCTGCTTGCATCAAATTGGTCAGAGGAGAACGAATCAGAAGATTTATTCACAATTTTACTCACTGGGGTAGAGGTAACATTGCGCTGTCGGGAAGGATCCAGCTCCATAGCCCTTATGCGGAGATGCATAAGCTCAACTTCTTTGGACTTAGTCGCAAGCTCCACCTCTTTCAGGCGAAGGGCGAGCCCAAGATCCTCCGTAACCAATCCTGTTGATTGTTCGGCTGGGCTAACGTTTGGGATCTGAATGGCAGCAGGAGCCTCCGCCCCTGGCGACACCCGTCCACTGGCAGCTTGTGGGATGGTTGCAGCAGCTTCTGCTCCCGCATCCACCACCAAACCTCCAGTCGCCTCAACCGGCCGAGGTTGTTTTCTCCTGTTTATTTCAGTTAGGGAGTTAGGTGTAGCGCTTGTCTTTTGTTTGATGTTTGATTTCACATAGGGTTTGAACCCGGGAACCCCTAAGCGCCAAACATCTTTAGGGGAGATGTTTGGTCTTGGGAAGGGGGGTGTTATGGCCCTGTCCATAATCTGTTTTGGTGGCTGTTGTTGTCTGTGCCTTTAAGTCTTTGCAGGCCCCGGAGTGGATGAGCTGACGGCTGCTGATTGGTCCCCTGGCCATGTGATCTTCTTCAAATCCCTCACCAGCAGTTGTCCCGGGGCAGCCACTGACAGCAGCAGCAGACCTGACACTGGCCTCCAAAACTTGTTATGGACAGGGCCATAACACTGATGGTTTATTTTAATTTTCACATGGTCTTACTCAGATGATACAAAGTGAAACATGCATTCTTTTTTTACTTGCTGGAAAAGCTTGAAAATGGACCTTGAAAGTGCATAAAAAGTGCTTGAATTTGACCCTGAAAATGGCGTATCAACTCTGAATTGTATCAGCACCCATCGAAACAGCAATATCATCAGTTAAACTCACATTTTTTCGTAAAGTAAGAGATTTTCCCCGGTGATCAGTATTTCTTCAATACAGTGGTCCCTCGCTATAATGCGGTTCACCTTCGCAGATTTATTTTTTTTATTTGTGCAATTTTCCTTCTTTTTTTTCTTTTTTTGCAGCCCATTATGTTCCTGATTGGCTGAGGACCATTGTCAATCAATCTTGTGCCGTGTCTCCTGTACAGTACAGAATGCATTCAGCTTGTTAAATTTACATAAATCTTCGATCGCTAGTAGTGTGACTATTAAGTGCTGTATGTTGTGTTTTCTCCCCAACAAACACAACAGTGTCGACGAAACATTTTGCACCACCAAAGGCAGCCGCGGGTGCCTTTGGTGCCTGTGCTGCTCCCCCTGCACACCGTGGCATAGAAAAGTACTCCAGCAACCAGCGACTAGTAAAACATCCTCAGAGCTAGAGCAGGGCGATATGACCAAAAATATTTATCACGATATACATTTGAAAATGAGCGATTACGATATAATTGACACTAGACAAAATACTTTACAACTCCACAACTTTATTAGTGCAAAAAAACAAAACAAACCCATCAATGTATTTTCACTTAAACAAGCAGCTGGTTTTTTATGTGCATTAAAGTTATATAAAAATTTAACAGTGCAAATACAAATTCTTTGCTGACAGTTTAACCAAAAGGCATTTCCAGTGGAAACTGGCCGACATATCCTCAGCATAACCATGTAATATATCCACAAAACTTAAAAAGAGGTCATACACACACAATACGGTAACATTATGTTGAAGCACAGTACATATCACTCCACGAGGCTCCGCCTACGATAGCCGTAATGCTCCGACAATCCATCAAGCGGTGCGGCTTCGTAGCTTAGCAAAGTCGTACTGAAACATTTGACAGATTTTCGAGCGCCGTGTACATAAAATCGTTTCGAGGTCAGTAAACACAACCAGAGTTCATACATAAGGCACACGGGATTATAAGGGGCTCTGTCGACTTTCAGAAAAATCAAAGGATTGATTTTAAGTGTGCCGTGTTTTCCAAACAACATGGTAATAACGACGGCCCGCTAGCATGCTCTACCAAAAATAGTGCTTTGTTGTGTATCTGACGGACGAAAGCTAAACCAGTTCCAGTGAAGCTGCAGCATTTTGACAAACCAGTTCTGGTTCATCCGTTTTTATTCAACGATCCACTTTCACTCTTCTCATTCTGCATCGCTGCCATGTGCGTATGTACACATGTGCGTATGTAAACAAAGGTACTGCGCATGTGCGTTTTACCCATATTCTATCGTGATATTTCATTTTCCTATCGTTGCCCAAAATTACACCGGTATTACCGTGAACGGTATGATATGGCCCAGCCCTACTCAGAGCTTCCTACAGATGTTAAAGGGAACCCCAGCTATTAAGACATGTTTGCGCTAAAATATGTATTGTGCCTTCAATAAAATATGTCTTATTAAAATACGCCAAATGTTTTCCTTTTAAGCACATTTTATATAAAACAGATTTACCAGTAGGCCGCCATTGTTATTTACTTCTCAATGCACTCTGGGTAGGGACGTCATACAGTTGTACCGCATCCAGTTCAAGTTTGCAGCGCACTGGAAATGGCTTCTGTTCAACCTTTCCAGTTCACACCAGAGAGAACCGAGTGAGATAATGAAAATAGTCAACCAGCACTTAGTTTAGATGAAGATGAACACAATCTGTCACACGAGGACGAGAGAGTGAGGGAAAACTACTGGTGTCTATGCGCCTACTGCTTGCCAATGGCAACGGTGACTGAGAAGGTTTGTTGTAAAGCACCAAAACTTTGAAGCCGTATGTGTTAATCCAGATGTTCTCTGGGAAGCCCTTGTTAGCCTCATGATCAGTATCCAGTCTTTAAGTGATAATGTGATTGTGGTGGGGCGTGGTTTGCGGTGCCGCGCGGATGCACCTGCACGGCATCCGCAATCACGCCCGCCGTGTTAAAACACGGGGACTCAGGGGTTGGTGTGGTGTGACGTGAATTAAATAAAGTTGGCTTTGAACGTTGCTCCGTGGTCCCACCGTGCCTTATTCACGCCACATTGGTGCTGAAACCCAGGAGGCGGCACGGCGGGTCTGTATCGGAGCCAGGGAATGGAGGAGCTGGCCCGGAGGGTGGCCGAAATGGCGGCCGCCCAGCGGGAGCAGGCGGCGGAGGTGCGTCGCCAGCAGGAAGAGCTGCAGGACCGGTCCGAGCGCCACCTGGAAAGGATTGGGGAGCTGGTGGCGCTGCTCTGGGCCTGGGCGCCACCCCCACAAGTGTGTCCCGAGGACAGTGAAGCGGTGGAGGAGCCGTGTGGGGAACCTCGGCAGCCGGAGGTGGTGGACGAGTCACGTGGGGGTCCGAGCCTGCCGGAGGAGGAGGAGCAGCCGGGTGAAGGGCTGCTCCTGCCGGGAGCGGTGGAGGAGCCGCTCCAATCAGAGGCGGAGGACGAGGCGGGCGAGGGTCTACACCTGCCGGAGGAAGAGGAGTCGCTCCACCCAGAGGTGGACGAGGGGCTGTGCCTGCTGGAGGCG